CAGGGCTAGGTTTTACCCTTAAAGAGCCGGTATGGGGGAGACGCCCTGTCACAAGGCCCTTCGGTAAACCTAATTAAGTATCATTGCTCTAGAAAATCCTGCTTTTAAGTATGATGTGGTGAATAGAACCACAGCAAAGCATTTTTATCTGTTACCGATATTTCCTGCATCCTGAGTTTCACTAGCGTGGTAGTGACAGCTGGAACACTCTTTTCCAAATTTTCTGACAGCAGTATTTAATAAGAATGCAATTTTTAAGAAGCTTTGGACTACTGAACTATTATTCTCCAGACAAAGTTTCCAAACACTCAAATGAAAACACATGGTTAGACATATATTCACTCAATAACAGCTAGCCAAATTACTTTCAAAGTCTGAAACTCAGCACACTTCATATGAAACAGCTCCATAAATGGACTAGGTTGGAAGTTCTAGATTTGTGGACCTTATCTGAAACTTTTTTTTTACTGCACCCTCTGACTCCACCTGTCTATAAAGCAAACTTTCTAGCCACAGAAATAAAGGGCATGCACTAGAAAAGCACCTCCACAACAGTAAGTACTTAGCAACCAGCCATATTTGCAGAAACAAGTAAACCCCTTCCTTGACAATATACCTTACAAGTGCAAAGAAGAAAAATGACAAGAACTAGACTCCCATAATTACTTTGAAGACTTAACCTCTCTAGATGGAAGTAATGACCTGTAACCTCAAATGAGAAGATGCAGTCATCCTCAACAGAGCCTCTACTAATGAGATATGATGGGAAGACAGGCAGAGGAAAGGAATATTTTCCAGGCAACTGCACAGAAAAAGAAAGAAAAAGTTCTCGTGCTCCTGAAGCTCTCTGGCACATCCCCACTGAGACTGGTTGGTCTCTGTGTTCATTTGAATGATGCGGACCTGCAGCACTAAAGACGAATCCTTAAAAAAAAAAATCTTGTTTTAAAAAGTACTTGCTAAAAACTACTGACTTTTTGGAAAATAAATGCAAAAAAATCCCACTAGCACTAGATAAGATATTAAATTAATATAACTTATTAACTGAGATACTTGTGCACTCAGTAATCTCCACATAATATCTTAGCAGAGCAAATTCTGTTTTAAATTATTTATGCATCACTTAGTCCAATTTATGACTAATTAAGGACAAGCAAGCAGAATGGAGGAATGTTTTGACCCTGATATGGTACCATCAGAGTCCTCATGACTCAGATTGTTTTTTACAGATGAGCTTTTATTTTTTCAAACTCTCACACTAAACACTGTGTCCCAGGGAAATCAATTGTATGATGTTTTGACCTCAATCAGACTTGGTATAAGTGGATGTAAAAAACACTGACTTTTATAGTGACCATGCACCCATTTACATCAGGTCTGAATTTGGCCCCTGGAAGGGATGCAAGCTCCTTGGGTCCAAGCCTGGCATCTATCAATCCTAGCTGCAATCTGAGAAAGGGAATGTTAGTCTGAGAATTTAAATGGCGCCTCTCAACAGCACAGCACCTCCCAAGAACAGGATTTCAGTGCCAGAATTGGCACGGAGGCCAGTTCCTGTTCTAGGGATTTGAAACAGTCAGGTAATCTGCTGGCCTCCATGTGAAAATCATATCAGCTGAGATGTTCTGGCAATGCGTACAGTCTGACACTGTGTGACACAGAGCCAAAAATAAAACACTATCCGAGATGAAACAATTTCTCTGTTATTCTAACATAGGTTATATTTTGCGAAGTGTGTATGGTGCTTCCCAGGTATAAAACAAGATGGTGCCCCTGCCCTAAACAGCTTACAGTCATTTCTAGTGTTATCTGTATAGAGAAGTATGGACAATCAATTCTTACAGAATGGGCCACTCTCTCCTGGGAAGCAGTTACTCTAAAAAAGAATCGGGGGCCCTGGCAGATGAACAGCGAACCATGCATTAGAGGCAGGAGAGAAGGCAATGACCTCCCCAACTGCCCGGCTGTCCCTGTCCACACACTTCCCCCATTCAGCACAGCTCCCCCAGTCTCCTGGGGCTATCTGGGCTTCTGGGATGGGGAGGTTGGGACCAGGTGCTGCCCACACTCCTCCGGGGCCAGAGAGGCCACCTGCCCTCTCTGTGCTCCGGGAAAGGCTGGCACAATGAACCACCCAATTTCCCCATGCTCCCAGGGCTGCAGACGGCTGGGGCTGTGCACGTCTCACTGGAATGTGGAAGTATGGATTGGATAAATGGACAGTAAAGTGGATAGAAAACAGGCTAGATTATTGGGCCCAATGGGTAGTGATTAACAATTCGATTTCAGGTTGGCGGTTGGTTTCAAGTGGAGTGCCCCAAATATTGGTTCTAGGGTTGGTTTTGTTCAACCTCTTCATTAATTATCTGGATGAGGGGATGGACTGCACCCTCAGAAAATTTGCAGATGACACTAAGCTGGGGGGAGAGGTAGAGATGTTGGAGGGCAGGGATAGGGTCCAGAGTGACCTAGACAAATTGGAAGATTGGACCAAAAGAAATCCAATGAGGTTCAACAAGGACAAGTGTAGAGTCCTGCACTTGGGATGGAAGAATCCTAAGCATTGTTACAGGCTGGAACGACTGGCTAAGCAGCAGTTCGGCAGAAAAGGACCTGGGGATTACAGTGGATGGGAAGCTGGATATGAGTCAACAGTGTGCCCTTGTAGCCAAGAAGGTTAATGGCATATTAGGGCTGCAGATGGCCTAATATTAGGAGGAGCATTGCCAGCAGATCTAGAGAAGTGATTATTCCCATTTATTTAGCACTGGTGAGTCCACATCTGGAGTATTGTGTCCAGTTCTGGGCCCCCCACTATAGAAAGGATGTGGACACATTGTAGAGAGTCCAGCAGAGGGCAACCAAAATGATTAGTGGGCTGGAGCACATGACCTATGAGGAGAGTCAATGGGATTTGGGCTTATTTAGTCTGCAGAAGAGAAGAGTGAGGGGGGATTTGATAGCAGCCCTCAACTTCCTGAAGGGAGGTTCCAAAGAGGTTGGAGAGAAGCTGTTCTCAGTAGTGACAGGTGGTAGAACAAGGAGCAATGGTCTCAAATTACAGTGGGGGAGGTCTAGGTTGGATATTAGGAAAACCTATTTCCCTAAGAGGGTGGTGAAGCCCTGGAATGGGTTACCTAGGGAGGGGGTGGAATCTCCACCCCTAGAGGTTTTTAAGTCGCGGATTGGCAAAGCCCTGGCTGAGTGGATTTAGTTGGGTTGGTCCTGCCATGGGCAGGAGGCTGGACTCGATGACTCCTGAGGGCTCTTCCAATGCTAGGATTCCATGATTCTATGACTGCTGAAGACCTCTGTGAAGATGAAGATTGACCATAAACTCCCAGCATGTTGTAGGAGCTGGAGGCCAGAGGACTCCTCTGAGGGACAGCGCTGTGGAAGAGTTGCTGGGACTGCCACTGGGAATGTATCCAGAGGAGATAGAAGACTGCCTGTGGATGCAGGTATGAATAAGGGGGAGTTTAAGCAGCAGCCCAGGGAAACCAGCCTACTATCTGGTGGTGTGTCACTGGAATCAGTGTCAGCATGCCATAGTGGGATCTGTTGGGACCCTGGCCTGGGATATGGTGGAACTGGACGGGCCCACATCCCCCTGGAATCCCACCTCTGGGGCACTAATACTCCTCATCCAGAGATTCAAAGTGCTGCCAACTGCTCAACCCACATGCCAGGGCACCCCAGGCCACCAATTCCCCTCTTACAATTTTCTCTTACAAGTTTCCAAACACTCCTAAGCCAGCTTAACAGCATTTCAGTAAGCCAACGAATGTGTCTTCTAGAATTCATTCTCTGTGTCCCCCGCAAAGTAAATACAAAGAATACTATTCCAATTTTATTATCTGTACTTTTCAACTACCTTACAGTACATTGCCAGCACAATTAAAAAAACATCCCAAAACAAAAACAACCCCAGATAAATTGCTTATTTTATTTTGCAAAACTGAGTAACACGATGAGTCATTCTTTTGGATCAAATATTTTGTTACATAAGAGCATCTATTACCTCTAACATCTATTATATAGAAGGCAATCAAAGACATCGCAGAACAAATTTTCACAAGTTTTCATTTAACGCTACATGAAAAATACAAGGTCTATCCAATTGTTTTGGAAGTCTGTTTTTGGCTAACTATTGCTTGATATACCTAAATAAACAGCAGATAAATTAATCAGAAAGAAAGAAATGGCAACAACTTTTTCTGAAAGTCTCCAAACCACTCTCAGTAAAATACAAGGTACAGACAGAACACCTATGGAGTAGAGTGACATCAAACAAATATGAGCTTTCATTGGAAAGATCTGCATAACTTGCATGTGGCAGCAGCCATATCCCAGCTCATACCAACAAAACCTTTATACTCACCATCATACTTACCTATATCAGAATTCTCCTTCCACATTAGACTACACTTTAAACTTTGTGATTCTAGGTACCACCAGATTGTGAGGACCAGAAGACTCTGGGAGTTCATACTGGAATTCAGGTAGTGGACTCCAATTTATTAATTTCCTTAGCCACTGACCTGCCAGATAGTGTCACTCAGATATCTGGCTGAATGACAGAACCACCAACCGGGATGCAGGGGTTTGTGTGTAAAGTGGGCATTTGACCTGGGGCCTGGTGATTCAAAAGGGCCCGGGGCTCCCAGCCGCAGACACTACCATAGGAGCGGTGGCAGCCAGAGCCTGAGGCCCTTTAAGTCACCACCAGAGCGCTATGTGGTCAGCTCTGAGGGCTGTGGGGAGGGCCCAGCAAAGCTGTCGGTGGCTCCACACAATGACATGAGGCATCAGCAAAGAATATGTGAAGAAACCAAAATGTAAGTGTTTTAAAAATACTACTTCTTATGTAAACCTAAGTGATTTGTTTTTAATATTTAATTGTTCTATTGGTCTGAGCTCTAAATTGTACAGATTTATTCTAGATGATAAAGTCCACATTTGTTTAATTTTTAAAAAGAAAAAAAAAGGCTTTTACTCACATGATTCCTCTTGCTTTCACCATCTTTTATAGATGTAATAATAGTCTCAGAATAAATCATTGATCCAGTTTTGTTATCTGTAACCTAATATGGCAAAAGAGGAATAATAAATTAGATGACTACAGATGCCACGCAAGTCCTCTGTTACCATTTAATTCAGTATTACTCTAACGTTACTCCTATTTATTTTTTTCATTTCCTGGGTAAGTGGACAAGAAATCCCACTATGCTTTTTTGAAATATAGTCAAGAAACTAATTATCAAGTCTTCAGTAGTGATCACTCTTTTGTAGTTCACATTAAGAATTACATCTGTATTCCACATTCACTAGGCATTACTATGCAGTATCAAATGTCACTACAGCAATGAAACAAAAAAAAACTGTTGTCACATTAATCATTTTCTGTGTCCCCACCTATTGCTAATTATACAAGCAAATCATTTATGGTACTAGGAATGTCTGAGTGTACACAACTAACCTTTTAACCAATAAGCGCTAAAGCCTCCTTCCTGGGAGGAGGGCTGGCAAGGGCTCCCTGCTCCACTCCTGGGGAGGTGGCCTAATTTCAGGCTTTGTTCCTGGGGAGTAGGCTTTGCTGACACAGCAAAGCCTCCTACCCGGGAGAAGAGGTGTGCAAGGGCTGCCCGCTCCACTCCCAGGGAGGCAGGGGCTAACGGCCCTGCTCCCAGGAAGGCTTCGCTGTGGGTAACCATATAACCACTGAGATTTTCAGCGGTTACATGGTTACCCTATTACAGTACTTCGGTTTTTAACATCCCTATACAGAACAGGAACTCTAGATTCTCTAAAAAATTTAACACATTATTTTACTCTGGAAAGCCAGTATACAGCAAAGGTAAGTAAGTCGTTACATGCATTGTTTCATACCTTGTCAATTTCCTGGTGGGTATGAATGGTTTTATTACCAGTTTTGGTGTCCGTGTTGGATTCGTTATGGTAGCTGGGAGGTAAGTTTTCAAAGTCAGGTTCTGATGGGTTTTTTACCCCTTCTTCAGCCTCCATCTAGTAAATACAATTAACTAATGAGCAATACATTTTGCCTAAGGTTACAAATCACCATTAAAATAAACCATTACAATAGAGCAAGCAACATCTTTGTCCTACCCGTACAATATCACACTTATTAGCATCAATTTATATTGTATTAAAATGTTTCCTCAGCTCTCTCAAAAATGAGCATGCCAGCTTTTTTTTTTTTTTTTTTTTTTTTTTTTTTTAAGGCAACAGAGATACTGTCATGATCATGGTGTCATGATACTGGAACACCATACTCCTGAGCTGTAGGCTCTTTAAATAGGACAATAAATCAGCCTCTCTATGGACTTAAATGTCAGGAGGGTAAGTGGGTGCAGCAGAATGTCTTAATCCACCATGGGCTAAAACTGAGTTAGTATCCACATTTCCCAGAATCACTGTCCTGTCCAGAAAAATGTCACTTATTGCCTGGCACACTTGCAAAAGTATTGCCCCGATGGTAGACTTCTCTACTTCAAACAGATTCCTAACAATAGCAATCTGGAATGGCCAGCTCGCACAAAGCAGCGGCCACACACTTCTCTACCGAGAAAGCAGCTCTCATTCAGGTGTCCTCATGCTGCAGTTCAGGGGCCAGCTCGGCAGACGGCTCCTGTAAGGTCGCTTTGCACATCCAAAAGTTCTGTAGCGGTTGTTCTTCATCCCACACCCGCATGACAATGCAGTCCCACCACTCGGAGCTGTTTTCCCTGGACCAAAAGCGACAATCCAATGACTCTCTCAGGTCTCTCATAATAAAACTAAGTATCAGTTCATCGTCCTCTGATGAATCTTCTGAATCAGACTCTAATAAATTAATTTCCAAATCAGTATCCAAAACTGACAATTATTCATGGTCGTTATCCACTAGTAGCTCCATAATTAGGTATGCTGAAATATGTGAAGTCTTCTGCACTATATTCACAATAAGGACCAGAAGGCTGGGGTCCATGTTTTCTCATCATGATTGTTCAAGATGGTGTGAAATCCGGAAACCCACAGGGACGCTGGAAGAAAACAGATGGCTGACAGGAAATTATTTTCAAGTTCCCATTATGCCTAGTGCTACATTACACGTTTCCATAGTGCTTATTGTGTGAAGGTGACACAAGGCTCTGTGGGAATGCATGCTCACAATGCTTTGTTCTTTCTGCCAATGAGGGAGCTGCAGATGTGGCCACAAGTTGTTCACAGTGAGTACCAGAAAAAACAGTTTGACGGACTTCCAGTTTTAGCAACTCCTGCCTGTTGCCTTAAGTTTTATCACCAAACCTTGCTAGCATAGATATAGCCTAAGAGTCTCATTAAAAGCCACTCAAGTCAAGAGACAGATGTCCACTGGCTTTGGATCAGGACCAGCATATTCAAACTTGCACTTCTTATCAACAGGTAAAATGTTCATTGTATTGGAGTGAAAAATCAGACTCCATGAATTCCCAGTGTTACGATCATACTGGGAAGAAGATGACAAATTCATTCTTTGAATTAAAGAGTTAAAAGGACTGGAATTTAACAAGCCCAAAACCAGGAAAGTAATCTTTGTGAACAAGAGAAACCCCTGGGGACATTAACATTATTGGGATTCCAAATAAACTAGTTATTTACTTGAGACCTCCATATTAGATCTAAAATACTGTTTACCAGATTGATCTTTAAAACTTTTCCTAGGGACATGTGTCCTACTAGTGATGGGTTTTCTTTTTGAGTATCTTTTTTTCTAACCATTTTTGCTGTGGCTATTTTGAAATGTGTATAATATTTACAATATCTCACTTCAGATCTCTGTACCCATCATTAAGAAAATATAAAATTAATAAGGAAGTGGTTCAATTTACCATATTTGGACTATAACAGTCTTTCTTTATTAAGCACTGACAAAGCACACATGGCATTGCAAAATAGATCAAGACATAGTCTCCACTCCATTGGGGCTTACGATCTACATTAAACTTACAGCCGAGGACAGATGTACAGTATAGCAGTTGTGCAGATGTAGATCAACATTCAGATGTGATTTTTATTCAGTATTTTTAAAGACTTGTTTGTCAGGTGGCTTATTACAGAAAGGGTTCTTAAGAACATAAGAATGGCCATACTGGGTCAGACCAAAGGTCCGTCCAGCCCAGTACTCTGTCTGCCGACAGTGGCCAGTGCCAGGTGTTCCAGAGGGAGTTAATCGAACAGGTAATAATCAAGTGATCTGTCTCCTGCCATCCATCTCCACCCTCTGACAAACAGAGGCTAGGGACACTATTCCTACCCATCCTGGCTAATAGCCATTTATGGACTTAACCTACATGAATTTTTCTAGTTCTCTTTTAAACCCTGGTAGAGTCCTAGCCTTCACAACATCCTCAGGCAATAACTCACCTAGCCCTCCACTGCCTCCCACCTGAGCACTGCTGCCTGGGTCACATAACTGATTTTTGAGAAGGGATTTAAAGAGAAGGGTCAGTTGATGCACCATATAAAAAGGAAAATTAATAAGGGGAAGCATAGAAAAAGACTCATCGCAGAGAATGGGGAGGAACATAGAGGGTGTTTAAGTGGAGAACACACTGGACTAGGACTCAGAGGTTCAGTTTTGGCTTTGTGATCTTTCCTTTCCTGTACGATCTTGGGCAAGTGACCTAGTCCAGTGGTTCCCAAACTTTTTTATACCACAGACTGACAAACCCATTCATAAACTTTCGGTGGACAAGAAACATTTCATTGGCATATTTTCATATTCATTATGAAGATAATGAATATGCAAATGGAAACCAGGGCCCGGGGTTTACTCCAGGCCCAGCCCCCAGAGTTGCCACAAACAGCCAGCTTCAGCTACAGCAGCCACCCGCCACGTGGCAACTGCTGGCGCTGATGCCAGCTGTTCGCGGCAGCTCTAGGGGACAGGGCTGAGGTACACCCCTGCCTCTTGAGCCCCCCCAGTGCCAGTCCTAACCCAGTGACAGCCCATCACCACCTCCCAGCACCAGCCACTGACCTCTGAGTCCCCTGCACCCAATGCCCCCAGTGCCAGGCCCCCATCCCAAATGCCTCAGTGTCAGCCCCCTAACCCTTAGAGCCCTCCCTAA